ATCAATATCAGCCACATGGCAGCGAGCAAGATAAAGAATGCCCAGCATTTAAGCAACCATGTAGATACCTTCGTAAGCCGCGGAATCATTTTGCAAAAATATGCTGATGAAAGAGGAAAATGCAGGAGATGCACAATCCTTACATTCCAGCTTTAAGTGAAGAGGACAAGCTGTTGATAAACATAATGAAGAGCGAAGGTGTAAACCTAAAAGAATGGCTAATACAAACACACAGAAATAGCCTGCATGTGATACACAAGATAGACCTCGGAGCACAAGTGAATGTAATAACAGAAAACAGAAATAGTTAAAAGAAAGTATAAAGTTAGAAAAGACAAATCCCTAAAATAAGGGGCAAAAGCAAGTCCTAGGCAAGGGTGAACCATCACTGCGGTACAAAGGCAGGCCAGTAGAGCAAAAGTTTTTGTTAGTATATTGAGGAAAACAACAAGTGGCCTTGGGCCTAAACAGGAGGTGCGTGGGCTATTTGAGATGGCATGTAAAGAGTAGGAATGAGAAGTCTAGTAAACTTAAACAGACAAATTCCCAGTACAAAAGGAGTCTCTCAGGGCCACAAGTTATGTTTAGAGAGGATGCAGAACCACCCCCGCTGTTCTTTCAAAGAGAGACTTGGAGTAGAGTAGCAAATAATTTATGCAATAGATGAGGCACTCCTTCATGAATAGACTCGCATTTGAACGGTCTCTACTCCAGGTATTATAGAATTTCCGCCTGACTGAAATGTTAGGATAACAGTTTATTTAATTAACAGCAAGCAATAACTTTTGAAGTAAGCACAATCCTGATGTTGATATAGTCTAGCCTGGGTGTGATCTCTGTTTAAGTCTCTGCAACTGGTTCCTTTCTCTGAGTAGGAGAGAATTCGTCCGAGTCAACACTAAGTGAGGCTCTGGAGAAAGTCCTGCAAGATGTGTGGCAACGTCCCATCTTCTATAGCACAGGCAGAATTTATTTAATTTCAAACACTAGCCAGGAGGATTGATTGTGTAAATGCTAGTTAACATGGGAAAGGGTTGCAGAATGTGGAAGTAGGAGACTGCTTATCAATACCCAGGAGGACCACAGACCTATCCCTCCTGCTCTAGAAAAATGCCAGACTGACACTGTTTATGACTGATATTCTCTGTTTATCCATACACAGCATGGACAACAGCCGTGAAAACTCCCCCATGCTGTCCCCTAACATACTTAATCATTGACCTGAGGAGACCACTATTAGGGGTAAAGGGAAAGCTCAGTCTCACGTCCATTACATCCCTGGCATCAGGTAAGACAGCCAAGTGCATCGGTTCTGAGGAGGAGTTTTCTGATGCAACTGAAATGGGCTGAGAACCACCAAATGCTTGATCCTGTTAAGTTGATGGGAGTTTGGTCATTGACTTTAATGAGAACAGGATCAGTGTCCCAATTCATTTCATGCAGGCAACTAAAGAGCCGGCAGAGTGAACAATGTCTCATGATAATGATCAACCTGAGCTTGAATGAAACTAGCAACAGGGTGTCTATCTGCTGTTACCAATTCAACAAGTCATCCAGGCCTATTCCAGAGCAATTTGGTTCTGTTTGGAAGTGCATGTATTGGCAAGTTCACTTTGGAAGGAAAAAGCAAATGCACAACCACAAAATGGGGAATAATTGCCTAGGAGGTAGTACTACTAAAAAGAATCTGGGGATTACAGTGGACCACAACGGAATGAGTCAACAATGTGATGCAGCTGCAAAAAAGTTAATATGATTCTGGGGTGTATTAATAGGAGCGTTGTATGCAAGACCAAGGAGGTAATTGTCCCACTCTACTTGGCACTAGTTAGGCCCCATTTGGAGCACAGTGTCTGATTCTGGGCACCACAATTTAGGAAAGATATGGACAAATTGGAGAGTCCAGAGAAGAGCAACGGAAATGATCAAAAGTTTAGAAGACCCAACCGATGAGGAAAGGTTAAAAAACCTGGGCATGTTAAGTCTTGAGAAAAAGAAGACCCAGGGGGGAGCTGATAACAGCCTTCCAGTATGTTAAGGGCTGCTACAAAGAGGACAGAGATCAATTGTTCTCCTGGTCCACTGAAGGTAGGACAAGAAGCCATGGGCTTAATCTGCAGTCAGGGCGACTTAGGTTAGACATTAGGAAAAACTTTCGAACTATAAGGGTAGTAAAGCTCTGGAATAGGCTTCCAAGGGTGATCGTGGCATCCCCATTATTGGAAGCATTTAAAAATGAGTTTGACAAACCCCTGTCAGGAATGGTCCAGGTTTATTTGGTCCTGCCACAGAGCAGGGGGCTCGACTTGAAAACTTTCCAAGGTCCCTTTCGGCCCTACATTTCTATGATTCAGTTGGTTATTTATGCTATTTACGAGCATCTGCAAGGGCATCCATAAGATATTTTAAAGTAATGGACCAATGAAAAGAATTTTTTTAAGTGCCCATCATAGCTTTAAATGTTACAAAGACTGTGACTCACAGCATTTAATCATCTTAATATCGTAGATAAAGGAGGCAACAAATTTTAGCTGATCCTTTGTAATGTACTAATTAAAACCTCCCAGAAAATAGGCAAAATCCCAAATCCTTACTTAGGAAAATCTCCTACTGAAGTTAATGGAACTTCCCACAGAAGAAAATGGGAATTTTGCTTTAGTAAGGACTGAAAAACTACAAAATGACTTCAGGGTTTTGACCCAAGATGGTCAATGTGTCAAGAATCTAAACCAAAGAGTGAAAATTAAACTAAGCATAAAAAGAATGCCCCTTAATTTTTGTGAACAGGGTCTTGGCTTTCTAACCATTGACAAAAGAACCAATGTCTTTGATTACAACAATTAAACTTAAAAGGGGAAGAAGTTCCTTTGAAGTCAATGAGAGTCTTGCCCCTGACTTCAGTGAGTGTGGGATCGCATGCCTTTCTGATAGTAGCCTTTGTTTAATCTTTTCCTCTTTCAAAACGCCAATTGATAACATTTGTTTTCATTGTAATCCAGAGACAGCTATTAAGCAGAGGGACTCCAGTCCATACCTGCACGGACTTTTTTTTTTTTTAAACATAATTCCCCTTTGAGCTACTGCTCTCTGAATAGAATTACGAGGTCTGAATTAACACTGCCATGATGCTGTATCTATTGGCTCTGGATTTTCAGGACCTAATGCAGTAAATGTGACTCTCCAAAGCTTAAACGGTTAGGCCAAACAAAAGGTATCACCCACAGATTCATGACTTTTTTTTTGTTTAATACAATCCTTTGTATCAGAATAATTAAGCAATAAACTGTGTCAGCTTGTGAATTAAAGTGTAATAATTCACAGCTACTAGAGTGCATTCAGAGGCAGGATTCCAGGGACTGAATGGCATTTCCAGTGTAACCAGCTGTGAGTTATTGCCCCATAATTTGACACCTAGAGTGTCTTTTTGCAATTATAAGATGTTTATCTTTATATTTTAACATACAAACTAGACAGATCCACACACATGCACGCCACTGAAGAGCAGTTGAGAACATTTTAAGATTCCATCCCTCTGACAGACATTTTCTGACAGACTAGATATTTTTCTATCTAGTTACTATGAAATGACACCAGCACAGGCTTCTGGATGCAATGTTTTTGCAGCCCATAAAGCCAACAGGAACTTTCATCTAACCTTCAATGAACATTGGCACAGCTGTTGCCCTGTTGGCAGTGTCTTTGAAAAGGTTGCTGCATGTGACCGAGGGAAGCGGGTTTTCAAATGTCCGTGTGCATGTCTCTCTTTCTGATGGAAGGCTGCAGCTTTAAATCATGAATCCAAATAGGAAACAAAAGATGCTTTGACAAATCAGCTGTGCAGCAACACTGCTGGGTCCTGCTCCTTGCAGGAAGCTGAGGCAGAGGGATGTTCAATCCCATTCAAACAGAAAAGACAAACTTGAGCTCTTAATGACTTTTGGCACCACAGGGGATTGCAGTCAATGGTGCTACCAGATCACTTCCACAAAATAAAGATGAGAAAAGGAACCTGTAAAATCCCAACCCTTTTAATAGGGTTACTACACAAGGATGCTACTGGTCAGACATCACTTATCAGTGTGCGGGGGAAATAAAACCAAAGATTAGTCCCACTAAAGTCAATAGCTTCTTAAAGCCAAATTTGAAGACATTTAATTTGGGTAAGCATTTCCAAACAGCAGGGTATTCTCCACTCGGTGCACATTTGTACACCTCACTAATGTTAAATTAGGATTAGGTGAACCACAAAGAGGAGTCTCCAATGAGCATGTGTGTGTTTATTTCACCACTGGAACAATAAAGACAGCCACAGAATCAGAACCCCAGATCACTGACATTCAGATAAAAATGGGACCCAGATGTGACTCATCCCATGGTTTCGTTTTGTCTTGCAAAAGAAAACCAGGCGTGACAAGATTCTGCCCTGAAGCTTTCACAAGAGCGGGGTCAATGTTGAATCTATTCAGAAATGTAGGTTTTTTTCAGAAGCAAAAATCAGCTTCGCAGTTTTTGTTTGTCTTTACACAATGCTTATTACAAAAATCAGATCACTGGATTTTTTTGGGCTGACTTTTTAAAACTGTAAATTGAATCAGAACAACTTGCTGTTGTCACCTGAAATATTTCTGAATCACAGCTATTGAGACATGAGAGGGCCCAATGGTGACACACAAAGGATAATTTTGGCCCATTGTTTACTAAGGGCTCGCTCTTGTCACCAGGTTTGCTCTGCTTATGTGAGAAGCCCCACAGACTGTAATGTGACTAGTAGTGTAAGTAAATCCTTTTTAAACTAGGTAAGGATTGCTGAAACAGGCTGTAATGTATACTGGTGATGTCAAAGGCCATCTCCTCGGTCAACCATTTATGTTTATAGTTTATCTTTTCCTAAAAAGCTAAACCAGAGAATACAAGTAGGTTTGCTACATAACATATATAGCGTTAGGTATATACTGGATGTTACATATTCAGTTCACACATATACTGGATGAGCTACTTGCCGTCGACACAGGAAGGTCTGTTTCGTGTTGTCCCGGCCACTTTCCCAGGGAGGCAGGAGCATTTTACTGTTTGTGATCTTTCCTCAATTCGATTCTTATTACAGCATCTGTGTGCTGCTATAACTTCACACGTTCCTCCTTCTGGCAACAAAGAGAGAATATTGACACTCTGATTAGGAAGAACTGCAATGGCTAGTCTAAGCAACCAAGCATGCTACTCTCACCCTTTGTGAAGAAAGGTTCTTATAAGAGGGATTAAGAAAGTGTTGTCTCCCATTATGGACAATTTTGTCTAAGGCAGGTATTAGTATACTTCAGGAGCTATAGGAAATGCAGAATAAAGGCTCAAGAGTAGATACAGCACCCGCTTATCTGCATTGTGAGTAGCTCCACGGACAGGAATAGAACTTTTGGGTGTGAAGTAGGGAGTATAGCACAGTATGGACCTGAAGGAGTGCAGACTAGTTCATGCAGAATGAAAATAGCTGCCTGCTTTACATGTTCTATTTCATCTCTCTCCTCCCATACTACTAGGTTATACTCTCGATACAATCCCAGTATCTCAGAGAATCCGCCTGCAAATGAACCCACGTCCAACTCCTCAGCTTCGCCTCTAACCAGGTCCCCGTATTCTGCAGGGGGAGAATCAGTTCCCTAGGACTCACAGCATGCTCCAATTTTGCTTTCCTTCGCACCTAAAACAATGGCCTGATCTGGCGGTCCCGATGCAGGCAAAATTCCCATTGAGTCTAACGTCACGAGGCCCAAATGTTCCTTTCCTTCATTTTGTGTCTTACTCAGCGCATTTCCAAAAGGTTGATCACACAGACAGATAAATGGAGAGGGAGTCTACACTTGGGGCTAGGGGTGAGATTCCCACCTCACGCAGACATACCTGCCCTAGCTGTCATCAAGCTACCATGCTAAAGGTTGGAGCGTAGCTGCTGTCGCATGGCCAGTGGCAACATAGCGAGCAAATACTACCCCTCTGGGCCCCTGGGGTATGTACTCAGGGTGGCTAGCCCAGGCTGCTGCTCGCCGCCTGTGCTATGCTGCTATTTTTAGCCCGCTAGCTTGGTAAGAGCTGGTGCCAGTAAAGCTATGCGAGCCAGGAGCCGCACTCCTAGCTCCAGCTGGAGACACAGCAATAGATAGCCAGTGTCGGGCTGCTGACCACACATTGCTTGGGGCATATGCTGTGTACGTAAATGACACAACCAGAGCATGGGTCCCGTTCACTTGAGCAATATATAGTATAGGACGATCAGGCAGCATGGTGGGTTACTGCACTGCTCATTAATCTCTCCAGCCCTGAGTTCAAATTGCATTTCACTCATAATTACTAAGTGTTTATAGTCCCAGTCTGTTCTTTCGCAGATATTTGTCCACTTCACGAACTTGCTGCATACATTTGGCAGCGTCAGGGTAATCTTAATACAAAAATATCCACAATACATACAAGAGCAGGACGTGTCAGAAGGCTCACTAGGCTATGAAAGCAATATTATTTTAACCCCACCATGAGATGCTACGGCGCATTGCTTTAGCTACAGGGAACTGCCTAATGGAAAAGGTCCATTGTTTCTATGGATCAAAAATCCAAAGGCTAGATTGTAACCTTGCAATCAGCCATGAGAACAGGCAGCGAGGAGCTGCCCCACACAGCACACCAGATAACAAGTTAGGACTCACAATTCCTGCCCAGCTTCCCCTTGTTCTGGGAGAGGAGTAAGTTAGTTCATTTCTTTGTGTGGCTACTCCCAGCCTGTGCAACCAGCCAGCTACGCTGAATAGTATGAAGGTGGCACGGGGTCTGGGAGAAGACAGGAGCCAGGGCTTCCCTCACTTCCTGCCCCGCACTGCGCACTGACATGGTTGCAGTGAAAAGTAGTGGGCAAATAGCCCTGCTTTCCTCCCTACAGCTGAGGTCACAATCTCAGCAGGGCAGTAAGGGGAGTGGGCGAACTTACTTCCCTCCTACTCTCCTCACTCTTCTGCACCTCTCAGGAGGTGCTGTGAAAATCGAGCCCAAAATAAATGAGACCCATCTCTGTAATTACAGTCATGTGCAGTACGGGAAGTAGAGTAAATCCAGGAATTACAAAGTGATCTTATGCAGCTCTTTCTTTATTGACAGAGGAAAGGTACTTAGTTTGAAGAGGACCCAAGTATTTCCAGTAACTCAGAGCAGTGTCAAGGAACAAGCCAATCCAAAGTAGACAGTGGCACAAGAGGCCTCATACTGCGTGGACATGTTTTACAACTTTAAATATTCAAACCTTCACCTTTCAAGAATGAGTCAATCAAAGCTGGTTAATGTCTGTTGAGGTAAATGACTCTCGGTCACGTACTCATGAGGTTTAGTATTGATGAGCTTGCCAGCTCCAGGCCAGACAGGCATGGTCCTTAATATTTAACTATTCTTGACAAGAAGAGCTGTTTCCTGTATTTCCTGTATTGTGTATACACACATATGGCTACCTGACACAGCTCTTTCAGAGACAAGATGTGCAACAGCAGATGGAAAAGGAGTACTTGTGGCACCTTAGAGACTAACCAATTTATTTGAGCATGAGCTTTCGTGAGCTACAGCTCACTTCATCGGATGGATCACACAATTCAGACAGCTTGAAGGTGCTACTTGATGACAAAAGCCCCGTCGAGGGTCCCAGAGGAATAAGAGGAAATGCGGGCACTCGTTGCTGCTCAAGATTTAGCCCTATGTGTTTACATCTTAAAATGAATTATGAACAAAATCTCCATTCACAGCAAATGCTTTTCCTAAAGCTCCACCAGGATCCCAGTGATGTCAAAGACAAGCCTCCCATTGATCTGCTTGGCTTTAAAATCAGACCATACGTATGTCATGAAAATGTGTATCTGTGGTTCTGACTGCAGTACATTTTCTGGTTTTTATGTGTGTAAGTTTGGCTTCTAACAGGAAAAAATGTACACAGTAAGGTAATTCTATCCTTCGCTGCACATACAGTACAGTAAATACTTGTGAGTAAGCTAAATGTTCTATTTTCCTCTTAATTTTGTGGATGAGTACTAATATCTACATGAAGTCAGTTAACAAAAACTAGTCTTGCTCACTTGATTATCTGTGCAAAATAATGGGTCATGGCTGATGAGCTTTATAACATCTATGTAATTATAATGTGGAAACCCTCAAGTTGCTGCAGAAAAACTCTAAAGGTTATAGCTGGTAAAAATGCAATGAAACTAAGACAATTCAAAAAACCTTTTGTTACCAATATATAGTTAAACCTCTTATTAACTGGGACTTTTCTAATCTGCACAGCCTCTAATTTTCATACAAAAAGTATCTTCCCAACTCTTCCACACAAGAAGAGCAAAATCTCATGTTCAGAAACTATATTCTTTGGGGAAAAACCAGATGATATAATCTCATCATATGGTGACAATAACACTTTCAATTCCAAGAATATCTCTGGAGGATGTTAAATAGAGGCTACTAAAGTTAGACATTTGAAAATGAGCAGGTCTGGATAAATTTTTTTTAAAAGACCTGGCTAAGGAGCTCGCAGGACTGGTAATGTTGATTTTCAGTAAGGGCTTGTATCCACTTATTGGGGGATTGACATGCGGTGATCAATCCACCGAGGGTTGATTTAGTGGGTCTAGTGAAGACCCGCTAAATCGACTGCTGATTGCTCTCCTGTCGATTCTGGTACTCCACTGGAACGAGAAGCATAAGGTAAATCAACGGGAGAGTTTCTCCCGTTGATCCAGAGCGGTCTATACATTGCAATACGTTGACCTAACATACATCGATTCCTGCTACGTTATTCACATAGCTGGAGTTGCGTAACTTAGGTCGAATTAGTCCCATAGCGTAAACCTACCCTAAGTCTTAGCACACTGGGGAGGTTCCAGAAGAGTGGAAGAAAGCTAATGTGCCAGTTTTTAAAAAGGATAAATGAGATGACCTCTCTCAACCTGATATCGATCCCAGGAAAGATAATGGAGTGGCTGATACGGGACTCAATTAATGAAAAATTAAAGGGGCATAATGTACTTAATGGAAATCCACATGGTTTATGGAAAATGTATCCTGCCAAACTAACTTGATATACTTTTTTGATGAGATGACAAGCTTGGGTGATGGAGGTAGTAGTGTTGACAGAATATATTTAGACTTCTGTAAGGCATTTGACTTTGTACTGCACAATATTTTGATTAAAAACTAGAATGATACAAAATTAACATGGCACACATCACATGGATTGAAAACAGGATAACAGATTGGTCTCAAAATGTAATTGTAAACCAGGAATCATCACTGATTGGTATGCTGCCAGTGGGGTCCAGCCGGGTTTGCTTTTTGGCCCTATGCTATTTAACATATTTGTCAATTACTTAGAAGAAGAAAAAAACCATCACTGATGAAGTTTGCAAATGACATAAAAATTGGGGGAGTGGTAAATAATGAAGACAGGTCACTGATACAGAGTGATCTGTATCACTTGGTAAATAGGAACAAGCAAACAATATTTGTTTTAATATGGCCAAATGTATATATTTACATCTAGGAATAAAGAATGTAGGCCATACTTACAGAATGGGGGTCTCAATCCTGGGAAGCAGCGACTCTGAAAGAAATTTGGGGGTCATGGTCGATAATCAGCTGAACATGAGCTCCCAGTCTGATGCTGTGGCCAAAAAAACCCCAAACCCCTAATATGATCCTGGGATGCATAACAAGGGAATCTTGAGTAAGAATAGAGAGGTTAATTTTTCCTTTATATTGGCATTGGTGTGACCCTGGCTGGAATACAGTGTCCTCTTCTGGTGCCCACAATTCAAGAAGGATGTTGATAAATTGGAGAGGGTTCAGAGAAGAACCACAAAAATGATTAAAGGATTAGAAAACCTGCCTTACAGTGATAGACTGAAGGAGTTCAAACTATTTAGCTTAACAAAGACAAGCTTAAGGGGTGACTTGATTACAGTCTATAAGTATCTACACGGGGAACAAATATTTACAGGTTCTTCAATCTAGCAGAGAAAGGTATAATATGATCCAACAGCTGGAAGTTGAAGCTAAACAAATTCAGACTGGAAATAAGGCGTAAATTTTTAATGTTGAGAGTAATTATCCATTGGAACAATTTACC